TATAACTGCAGGAAGCCTGGCCACTGGAAGTCAGCATGCCCGTACCCAAAAGTGGAGAAGTACGGAGAAAGAGAAAGGATCGAGAAGAAAAAGAAAGCAATGGTTGCTGCTGAAAGTGACGAGTCATCCAGCTCAAGCTCGGATGAAGAAGCCCTCGTCTGCATGGAGCGCAGAGTTGAGAAGTCCAACCATGAGGATAGGTGGACTATGTCAGAAGATGACACTCTCTGCCTAATGGCCAAAGATGATGCTGATCAAGAGGTAACCTCACAAACCTCCTGCTCATCTTCTTATAGCACACCAACTTCTGAAAATCTTTTTGACCAGTTCAAAAAGATGATGAAAGACTTTGATGAGATAAATCTCAAACACACATCCTTAACAGAAGAGAACAAACTATTGAGTGAAGAGAATCTCAAGTTGACTGAAAGTCGGAAAAGTCAACTGAATAAGATCACTCAACTCAAGACTGAAAATGAATCTCTCTCTGAAAAGGTGAAATCCCTTAACAAAGAGCTAGGGATACTCAAGTCCCAAGAAGCAGTGAACAAGCTGCTTGAAACGACCAAACATAAGGGTCTCAAAGGACTTGGGTTTGACTCCTCTAGTTCCAAAAGGAAAGGGAAGACAACTTTCATCCCTCCTAAACCTACTGCCAAACCTAATAAGCAGAAAGGGAAGGAAAAGGAGAAACCAACAGAAGTTCCCAAAAAGGTAGTCCCTCCTAAGAACTATAGGAAGCTGGACAGACCTCAAAAGGGAAATAATTTCAGAAGAAAACCTTCTAACCCCCATTATACACGAGGCTATACTCATTATGGGGTAGACAGGAGTTTTCCAAGAAATTCTGAGTGGAGAACTATGCCAAGATATAGTCACCCTCCACCCCAGAAGCTATTTGTGCCACCTAAGTATGCTTATAACTGACACAGGACACACTATGCACAACCTAGACAAAACTATAGGTCTTATCAACCTAGGTTTGCTAGGAGGAAACAAGAAATAGCACCTCCTGCACGTAGGAAGTTTTATGCCTATAACTATGATTACAATCCCAACAAGTTTAGAGCTGCAAGGAAAATTCTCTGCAACTTCAAACTTGATGTAGGGACACACACCATTAACTACTCCGGACCCAAACTTAATTGGGTACCAAAATCTTCCTCCTCCTAATGCAGGAAGCCGCTAAGTACCCAGGTGTCTGGTACTTAGACAGTGGCTGTTCAAGACAACTGACGGGTGATGCGAGCCTTTTGAGCAATCTAATTCCCTATGATGGTCCAAGAGTTACTTTTGGAGGAAGCAATGATTTCGGCCTTACTAAAGGGCTAGGAAATCTGGTGTACAAGGGACTAACCATCCAAGATGTATCTTATGTTGAAGGCCTCAACTATAACCTTCTTAGCATAAGTCAGTTTTGTGATAAAGGTTACTTCTTGGAATTCTGCAAGGACATGGCATCTCTCAAGAACATCTCCACAAATGAAGTCATTCTCACTGGGAAGAGAATCAGAAACATCTATGAAGTGATATGGAGCGATGTCAAGGAAGCATGTCTAATCAGCAAAGGTGACACTAACCTTCTATGGCTTTGGCATAAGAGGTTGAGTCATCTCAACTTCAAAACCCTCAACAAGCTGTCCAAAGAAGAGTTAGTAGAAGGTCTTCCCAAAGCTGCATTCAGAAAGGAAAGTATTTGTGATGCTTGCCAAAAAGGAAAGCAAGTCAAGTCCACCTTCAAGGCAAAATCGGCACCCTCAACTACAAGGATATT